AGAGAGAGAGAGAGAGAGAACAAAGCAGTTTCCTAATTAGGAGCCTTGCTACTAGCAAGTGTAAGGGGCAAAGGCATGTTCGGCTAATCAAGGTTATTCAGGAGTTCTAATTATTTTTCACTCAGCATGCCACATTAAGCTTGAAGCACTTCTGTGATAAGCAGTTTCCATTATCCACTGTAGTAATGTTAGTAACACAATGCCATATAACTTACCCATTTTAATGCTCATGATACAGTTGTGTTTGTTACATTTGTCCTAATAACTGTTTTTAAATTGCTCCAACTATAGAGTATAACATTATATTGCATTGAAAAGGACTACCCACAAAACTCCAACTCCAGCCAGTGTACTTCAGGTACCTGTATAACAAGTAAATCTTGGGGAAAGAGGTTAAGATGTATATATTTGAGGACCTTTAAATACTTATCAGTTTTACTTCACTTTAAATGTAGTGTCTTCTTGCAAAGATGTACCCAAAAAAGTGCAAGTATAATATCTTAATTCTTTATTTATTTATTTTTTAAAGAGCAGCGGATTCATCCAGAGTCCTAATATATTTAGAAAATTAGGAAAGTGACATACTTGATAAATATCAAACACTGTTGCCCATTTCTACTCACCTCTCTGATTCTCTTGATCTGAATATAATTTGCTCGACCCCAGTCAAGTTCTTCCTGAAGGGCACAGAGAAAATTAATGATATAATGCATACATGGAATATTTGTTACCTGTTTATTTCCATACTGGTTCCCAACTTTTTCTGCAATCTACCACTAATGGGCTCTGACGCTCTCTGCGTAGATATCGGATAAGCAATTCAGAATCACGATAGAAAGCTGCAGAATTAGGCCACACTATTTACATACCCATGTGCTCGTCAGTCATGTATTTCCAAAGGTGTAAAGATTCTAGATATCAATTAGAAACATAGAATCATAGAATATCAGGGTTGGAAGGGACCTCAGGAGGTCACCTAGTCCAACGCCCTGCTCAAAGCAGGACCAATCCCCAACTAAATCAACATAATAACTATGGCACTCGTATACCATAGCAATTGGGGCCATATAAGTACCTTAAATAAACTTACCAATCCAAACCTTCCACATGACCTCCTTCATAACACACATTGCCCTGGGAAAACAGGATTTCACTTTTTCTGGATGCACAGTTTTAGCAGACATCAGACAGATAGGTCCTGCGGATAATTTGTCCTGGCTACTCACTGGAGCTTCAGTAAATGTACGCTGATGCTCACGATGTATGTAACAATCAGAAAGGTATTGAGAGACGCCAAAATGGCCTCAATCTGTACACATCATGCTCTGTGGTTTTTGATGAGGTCATTAACGGGGAAAAAGTTACCTCTGTGGGTATCACTGACTCTTGCCATGGGGGCAATAAAGGAGTTGTTTTTCAATAGGTAATGAAAGGTATCTTTAGGTTCCTGGGTTCAGAACCACTTCAGGAGCTTGCCGCAAGTCTTTTTTCCCCTTTATTTAGTATCCATCACTCTTTCCTCATGACTTCCTTGAAGGAAGAGTGTAGTGGCATGGTGGAGCTAACTTTGATTTGAGAAAGAAGGAAATTACCTTTAACTTGGGTTTGATTCTCCTTTATCAAGATTAATTTCAATTGTTTCTACACCTCTCTTGGCTATTGTTTCAAACATATGTAGCAGTAATAATTTTGTTTCTTGATCTCTTCCCCTCCCAGTTCTGAATCTGCAAGTTTCCCTTCCTCCAGAGCTTGAGAATGAATAAAGAGTGAAGCATCTTTTGGACAGCCTTTTTGTTGTTGTTGTTGTTGATCCCTTGATTTTTTCTGTTTAAACGTTAGAAGCTATTTATGGGATAAAGCCATTAACTCCATCTCTTGGGGAGGTAAGTGATCATTTCCTTTATGGTGAACAGGCTAGGAGGATTCCCCAGGGCTTTTTTAGAAGATGAGTGAGGGGGTGCTGGATTTCTTGTCTTTAGGGAGCTTGTCCCATTGGAGTTTGGAAGGGAGTTCATGACATACCCCTGTGAAGCTCCTAGAGATGATTCTAGGTGTCTTGCTTTGTTAGGTACCCTGATGGTGGAACTGCGGCTTATCTAAGGTGTGGGAGAGGCCAAGTATGTTTGATGAACTTGGAGTGCCTTTCAATGCCAACATGACTGTCCATGGGCTCGGAGCAGTTTTAGCAGAGCTCACCAGCACTGCTGAAGAAAGGCTTCCTAAACATGGAGTATTTCTTCCACTTGGAATGTGCATTTTACTCTGTACTTTCATTATGGTAGAGAAAGGAGCACAACAGAAAAGGGTGACCAAATGGGAAAAGAGGGGGAAAAAAGGATCAGGACAGGAGTCAAAAAGTGGGCTATATACTACTACTTTGGCAGATGCAAAACCTGCTGACTGTGGACAGTCACTACATTTACACCACCAGACACAGCATGACCGACCCCTAGAGTCATGAATCAGGACCATTTCTGATATCAATTGAGAGAGAGGCACAGCCTATTAATGTTGGATTGGGAGCAAGGTCAGGATCCAGCAAGACTATTTTATAGCTGTAAATAATTCTTTATAAAGCTACACATCATATGCAACACAGTCTGAAAGTTTATAGTGAAATATAATGTAATTCACCATTCATGTTTCTGAATGAATGCTGTACCATCTAACTACTGACAAATTACTCAGCCTGTACTTCCCATTTACAAGTATTTGAAGCTGAAGATTAATGTAGAGACTACTTTGAGGTTTGCTTCCTGTGCTGGAAATATGACACTTCAGTGTCAGTGTCTTCTACCACAGACAAAAAAAAACATTAACTAACCTTGGGATGCCTCAGTTCTCCTCTTCGTCTGCAGGCTTGCCATGCCTAAAATAACAAATAGCTTTTTTAGTTCTCAAGAACATATTGCATTGCCTATCACAACAAATGAATTTAGCACATTTAAAAGTAAAATATTTTTTCCAAACCTTGCATGGAAAACTGTAGTAGGAAAAAGCAAGTTTATTTTTCCTACCCTAATTTAAACACTCCAGGATGGTGGTGGTGATTGTGAAATGCTTAGGAACATTAGAGAGAGACTACAAAATTAGAAAATTCATTAACAACAGGGGATTTCAACTATCCCCATATTGACTGGGTACATGTCACCGCATGATGGGACACAGATAAAATTTCTAGACACCGTACATGACAGATTCTTGAAGCAGCTAATCCTGGAACCCCCAAGGGAAGAGGTAATTCTTGATTTAGTCCTAAATGGCACACCGGATCTGGTCCAAGATGTGAATATAGCTAAACAGCTCAGTAATAGTGATCATAATATAATTAAATTTAACATCACTGGAGTGGAGGGGATATCAAAGAAGCCCACCACAGTAGCATTCAACTTCAAAAAGGGGAACTACACAAACACGAGGAAGCTAGTTACTCAAAAATTAAAATGAACAGTCACAAGAGTCAAGTGTCAGAGGGGTAGCTGTGTTAGTCTGGATCTGTAAAAGCAGCAAAGAGTCCTGTGGCACCTTATAGACTAACAGACGTATTGGAGCATGAGCTTTCTTGGTGAATACCCACTTCGTCGGATGCATGTACAAGAGTCACAAGAGTGAAATGCCTGCAAGCTGCATGGAAACTTTTTAAAAACACCATAATAGAGGCTTAAATAAAATGTATACTCCAAATAAATAAAAATAGTGAGAGGACCAAAGAAATGTAATCATAGCTAAACAAGAGAGTAAAAGAGACAGACGCAAAAAGGCATTCTTTAAAAATTGGAAGTCAAATCCTACTGAGGACAATAGAAAGGAATAAACCTTGGTAAGTGTAAAAATATAATTAAGCAGGCCAAAAAACAATTTGAAGAGCAACTAGCAAAAGACACAAAAATTAACAGCAAAAATGCCTGCCAAACAATCAGTGGGGCCACTGGCCAACTGAGGTGCTAAAGTGAGACTCAAGGAAGACAAGGCCATTGTGGAGAAGCTAAACCAATTCTTTGCGCAGGTCTTTACTGCAGAGGATGCAAGGCAGATTCCCACACCTGAGCTATCCTTTTTAGCTGACAAATCCAAGAAGCTGTCCCAGATTGAGGTGTCAATAGAGGCGGTTTTGGAACAAAATGGTAAATTAAACAGTAATAAGTCACCAGGACTAGATGGTATCTACTCATGAGTTCTGAAGGAACTTAAATATGAAATTGCAAAAAACAACACCCAAGATAAGTAACATCGCTTAAATCAGCCTCTGTACCAGATGACTGGAGGATAGCTAATGTGATGCCAATTTTTAAAAAAAGGCTCCAGCGCCAATCCTGGCAATTACAGGCGACTAAGCCTAACTTTAGTACCAGGAAAACTGGTTGAAACTACAATAAAGAACATAATTATCAGACATATAGATGAACACAATATGTTGGGAAAGAGTCAACATGGCTTGTGTAAAGGCAAATCACACCTCATCAATCGATTAGAATTCTTTGAGGGAGTCAACAAACATGTGGACAAGGGTGATCCAGTGGATATAGTGTACTTGGACTTTCAGAAAGCCTGTAACAAGATCCCTCACCAAAGGCTCTTAAGCAAAGCAGGTAATCATGGGATAAGAGGGACGGTCCTCTCATGGATTAGTAACTGGTTAAAAGCCAGAAAACAAAGGGTAAGAATAAATGGCCAGTTTTCAGAATGGAGAGAGATTAATAGCAGGGTCCTCCAAGGATCTGGCTTGGGACCGGTGCTGTTCAACATATCCATAAATGATCTGGAAAAAGGGGCAAACAGTGAGGTGGCAACATTTGCAAATGATACAAAATAGTTAAGATAGTTAAGTCCAAAGCTGACTACAAAGAGTTGCAAAGGAATCTCAGAAAACTTGGTGACTGAGCAACAAAATGGCAGATGAAATTCAATGTTGGTAAATGCAAAGTAATGCACATTGGAAAACATCATCCCAACTACAAACTGTTGGGGGTCTAAATTAGTTTTTAAAACTTAAGAAAGATCTTGGTGTCATTGTGGATAGCTCTCTGAAAACATCGGCTCGATGTGCAGTGCCAGTCAAAAAAGTTAACAATGTTAGGAACCATTAGGAAAAGGATACATAATAAGGCAGTAAATATCATAATGCCACTATATAAATCCATGGTATGCCCACTCCCTGAATACTGCATGCAATTCTGGTTGCCCCATCTAAAAAAAAAATACATTAAAATTGGAAAAGATAAAAGCAACAAAAAATGATTAGGGCTTCTATATGAGAAGGGATTATAAAGACTGGGACTGTTCAAGTTGGAAAAGAAACAACGAATGGAGGATATGATCGAGGTCTGTAAAATCATGAATGTTGTGGAGAAAGTGACTAAAGTAGTGTTATTTACCCCTTCACATAATACAAGAACTAGGGGTCACCCGATGAAATTAACCAGCAGCAGATTTAAATCAAACTAAAGTAAGTATTTCTTCACACAATGCACAATCAACCAGTGGAACTCATTGCCACAGGATGTTGTGAAGGCCAAAAGTATTACCAGGTGCAAAAAAGAATTAGATAAATTCATGGAAGATGGGTAATAGACCTTGATGAACCTAAGATTCCAATCTGATAGTGGAAAACAAGCGTTACTCCATTCTGAAACCCTTACCACCATTAGCTGAAAGCAGGCAGATCATATAGACTGATCTGGGGCAGAAAAACAGCAAGTTTGTAGAAAAGTGGTAAGGCAGCATATCACGACAGCAGTGGTTCAACAGTCAAGCTGGAAGGGGATATCAAGTCGGGTCCCGCAGGGATTGGGTCTGGTCTGTTCAATATCTTTATATCAATGATTTAGATATTAGCATACAGAGTACACTTACAAAGTTTGTGGAGGATACCAAGTTGGAAGGGGTTGCAAGTGCTTTGGTGGATAGGATTATAATTCAATATGATCTGGATTAACTGAAAAAATGGTCTGAAGTAAATAGGATGAAATTCAATAAGGACAAATGCAAAGGACTCCACTTAGGAAGGAACAATCAGTTGCACACATACAAAATGGGAAACGACTGCCTAGGAAAGGGTACTGTGGAAAGTAATCTGGGGGTCATAATGGACCACAAGCTAAATATGAGTCAACAGTGTAACACTGTTGCAAAAAAAAGCAAACATCATTCTGGGCTGTATTAGCAGGAGTGTTGTAATCAAGACACAAGAAGTCATTCTTGCACTTTACTCTGCACTGATTAGGCCTCAACTGGAGTATTGTGTCCAGTTCTGGGCACCACATATCAGGAAAATTATGGACAAATTGGAGGAAGTCCAGAGAAGAGCAACAAAAGGGATTAAAGGTCTAGAAAACATGACTTGTGAGGGAAGATTGAAAAAAATTGTTTGTTTAGTCTGGAGAAGAGAAGACTGAGAGGGGACATGATAACAGTTTTCAAGTTGTGACAAAGTTCCTCCTCTATCTTGGTGGGTCCTGCGCTTATTGGCGGATTTTCTTGCCTCAGAGATTCACCATGTGGGTTGGGGAACAGCCCAGAGACCTTCCCCTCTGGGAGAACCCACAGTCCAGGTCAATTGGGAGGTTTGGAGGGAACCCGGACCCGCCCTCTACTCCGGATTCCAGCCCAGGGCCCAGTGGACTGCAGCTGTCTATAGTGCCTCCTGTAACAGCTACATGACAGCTACAACTCCCTGGGCTACTTCCCCATAGCCTCCTCCAAATACCTTCCTTATTCTTACCACAGGACCTTCCTCCTGGTGTCTGATAACGCTTGTGCTCCTCAGTCCTCCAGCAGCACACCCTCTCACTCTCAGCTCCTTGCGCCTCTTGCTCCCAGCTCCTCACACTCGCACCACAAACTGAAGTGAGCTCTTTTTTAAAACCCAGGTGCCCTGATTAGCTTGCCTTAATTGATTCTAGAAGCTTCTTCTTAATTGGCTCCAGGTGTCCTAATTAGCCTGCCTGCCTTAACTGGTTCTAGCAGGTTTCTGATTGCTCTAGTTCAGCCCCTGCTCTGGTCACTCAGGGAACAGAAAACTACTCATCCAGTGACCAGTATATTTGCCTTCTACCAGACTCCTGTACCCCACTGGTCTGGGTCTGTCACAAAGTACATAAAAGTTTGTTCAAGGAAAAGGGAGAAAAATTGTTCTCTTTAACCTCCGAAGATAGTACAAGAAGCAATGTGTTTAAATTGCAGCAAGGGCAGTTTAGTTTGGACATTAAGAAAAACTTCCTAACTGTCAGGATAGTTAAGCACTGGAATAAATAGCCTAGGGAGGTTGTGGAACCATCATCATTGTCTAACTTGCTCTTAAAAATCTCCAATCACCTATCAGGGATGGTCTAAATAATACTTAGTCCTGCCTTGAGTGCAGGAGACTGGACTAGAAGGCCTCTCAAGGTCCCTTCCAGTCCTACCCTTCTATGATTCTATGACACTGAGTGCAGCAGCAAGGGCTTAACCACAATGTTGGTGCATGGTCAAAATTCAGACTATAAAATAAGCCAAAAGCATAACAGGAAAGAGACGAGACGAGAGAAAAGACGACAACCCAACTCTAGATGACTGACCATCAGAAGTGGGGCCCTGCTCATTCAGCATCACCTTGGACTGTATGTAATTGCAATTTGAGGTGCTTTTAGCTTACTGCAGTAGGGATTTTTGTATTAAAGGCTTTGTGTGTTTGAAATGCTTGCGTCAATCACTTATCATGCCATGTGCTTGGCGAATTCCTGAGACCATCCTAGCATAGTGAAACCCTATGGGTAACACATGATCTAGGTGTCCCTAAATCTGACTGCCAGATGTTGGGACTGGACAACAGGGGATGGATCACTTGATAACTGCCCTGTTCTGTTCATTCCCTCTGAATGTGGCTTTGGCCACTGTTGGAAAACAGGATAGTGGGCTAGATGGACCACTGATCTGACCAAGTATGGCCATTCTTTTGTTCTTAAAATAATCATTTGGGGTGACAACTATGGAAAATTTAATTCATAGATTCATAGATTCTAGGACTGGAAGGGACCTCGAGAGGTCATCAAGTCCAGTCCCCTGCCCGCATGGCAGGACCAAATACTGTC